CACTGGAAGAAATCGAAGCACTGAGAGATTTTGGAACTGAAATAATTAAACTTTCAAATGATATTAAAATAGTGGGTATATTCCAAATGACCTTTTAAAATCCATATTTATAGCTCTGCCAAAGAAACCAGGCACTTTTAAATGGGAAGACCATCGCACAATAAGTCTTATGAGTCACATGACTAAGAGAATAATTATGAGAAGAATAAGAAACAAAATTAAACCAGAAATCAGCAATGAACAATGTGGCTTTGTAGGAGGAAAAGGTACAAACAATGCCATATACATCCTAAGGACATTGTCAGAAAGAGCTATAGAAGTAAAGACTGATTTGTACTTATGCTTCATAGACTATAAAAAAGCATTTGACTGTGTGAAGCATGAAGAAGTAATCAAATTGTTAGAAAAATTAAACATTGATGGAAAAGATCTACGAATAATAAAGAATATGTATTGGCAGCAAACAGCAGCTATAAGATTTAACAACTGTTTAGGTACAATTTCAAATTTAGGTACATTTCAAAGCATAAAGAGGGGCGTACGACAAGGATGTGTGCTATCACCTGATTTGTTTTCAATATACAGTGAATATATAATGAGATCTTTAATTGATATGCCCGGAATTGGGTTGGTGGGCACAATATAAACAATTTACTTTATGCTGATGACACAATCTTGATAGCAACAAGTCAGAAAGAACTACAGGAAATGATAGACATTGTGGTGTTAGAAAGCGGAAGAATGGGCCTCAGTTTGAATAATGGGAACAATGAGGTAATGGTGGTGGTATCAAAGAAACAAATTATTCCTAAATGTGTAATAAAAGTCGATTGTATTATTTTAGCACAAGTACAGAAATTTAAGTATCTGGGCACATGGATAACATCAGATGGAAGATGCATAACTGAGATAAGAAATAAGGACAGGCAAAAACTGCATTTTATAAAATGAATAATATCTTGTGCAATATATCCTTGTCAGTGAGAGTTAGGTAAAGAATTCTTGCTTGCTACATACATCCAGTTTTAACATATGGCTGTGAATCCTGGACAATCGGTAGGCAGGCCAAACAGTTTCTTGAGGCCTTAGAGATGTGGTTTTACAGAAGAATGCTTAGAATACCTTGGACAGCCAAAAAGAGCAACCAAGAAGTTTTGAAAGAGGCTGGAGCCTAAAGACAACTTATCACAGACATCAGAAGGAGACAGTCATCATTTTTCGGCCATGTTATGAGAAGAGGGAAAATAGACAGGTTGTGACCACTGGAAAGATCTGTGGAAGGAGTGATAGAGGAAGACAATGAGAGAAGATTCTTGACAGTCTTGTTGCATGGCATGGAGGTGTGTTGGCACACGAACTGATACATGTTGCAGGAGATCGTGGATTATGGAGAAGCATGATCGCCCACGCCAGTCAGCAAGGCACCTGATGATGATGATGATTCTTGATTGTATTTCTTCTCCCAGCATGTTGGAGCAGTTGAAGTTTTCACCCAAACACTTACATGTTTCTGTTCGTTTGATTTTCATATTATTGACTTATTTGTGGCCGGAGTTTATATTATTTTAAGAGAGTGAGTGTTTTAACAGTCTCTAATTCATTTTCTCCAATAATATCAGTGTCATCTGCATAACCTAGAATTATTGTAGATTCTCCTATAGTACACTCTTGTTTCAATTTCCTTATAATTTTCTCCAGGGTCAAGTTGAAAAGAAGTGGGGACAGATCATCACCTTGCTTTAAACCAGATGTTATTTGAAAAGGGTCTGATATTCTGCCCTATTATATTTTTATATTTCAAGTGTCTTCCATACATAGTTTTGTCATGATGTGACGTTCCGGCCCACTTCCCTTGGAAATTACAACACTTTCAGTGTGACGTCCCGGGTCGTGGGTTCCCTGGATTTGGGTTTAACTGAATTTTATATGTTGAGTAGGGAATTTTCCTCTCAACACATCCCCTCCACCAGGTTAACTGAACTAATATCCGGGCTATGTTGCTCTCAGACAAAGTTCTGGATATCCAAGAAAACAGCCATATTGGCTCATTATTTATATTAACTTTAGCTGAACTTGGTACCCACAAGAGAAGGAAATGGGTTTTAGATGTCTATATATTATTATCTTGAATTATTTACTAGACAGGGCAGTTGACCCAATCCGTCGACCTTCTCTTGGTACAGAATTATTATTATTTAATGAGCCCCCACCAAATGCTATTCTATCTTAACAGTTTAATTAAACATGTAAGAACAGACACACTTGGAATTATAAAAACTGATGCAGGATAAGACCATATAATTGATTTATTAACTTAGCCATCATTTTAGTTCTTTATATTTGTAGTCAGTAGTGATGATATGGTGGTAATGATATGCTTCAGCTAACTGAGCACCTAAGATTAGAATGAAGTGATAATGGTGGTGTTTAGTTACAGAAATACAAGATAAGTAACTTTTGTTGTTTTAGAAAAGTGGAGCTTCTGAGAGTCCTCGTGTTGAGTCCCTTCTTAGCTGTTCCCACTTTTCCGCCCAGTTCTCCTGGTCCTTCCACCTGGTTCCCTGGTTCCCACCTGTTTCCCAGCTGGCCGAGTTCTAGCACAATGTAGTCTCGTGACCGTGATGACCCTCTATTTCTGTTCTTAGAAAAGACTGATCCTCACCCACATGGGAGCTGTAATAATGGAAACAAACACATACGTGTAGTATCTTGACTTACACTAAGAATACATGTGTCAATTAATACAATATATAATAATACATTATATCTCACCACTCCTCCTCATATTCCACATTCTCTCCAGTCTATTCTGAAGGTCTTTGTGTCTCACAATCGACGTCTCACATATCCTGCCTTCCCTCTAAGGTTCTGTCATGATAGTTGACTTTCTGTTGTCTGTCATCACTCAGACTTCCAACTTGCTGACATTGATTTGACATAAACATGTGGCGCATGTTATGTGCTGAACACGCCAAACATTTTATACGAGCATGCTGTCCTGAATATTATCTTTCAGTGACAGTGAATAATATACACTCATGATTCTTCCCCTGGGGTTATAAATCCCCTGTTTAGGTGAACACATTAAGTGAGCACATGGTGGGCACACAAAACGTAACAGCATGGCTGCATAGGTGGGCATCATTTTCCACAGTTGATGGTTGAAACATTATAGTTTCATTACATTTCAGTATACAAGTCTTATTTTATAAACATGAAAACATACACTGAAAAACATGTTCCACAAACATACAAGAAATAGAAATAGTTTAGCAGTTTCCTAACTGAGATACTGAATACTCACAAAGAACTATTTCAAGCAGAATGTGTAGAACAATTAGGAAAAGGTAGAATAGACTTTAGCTAACTCCCTAACCTATGTATACAAGATTGAAAATAATTGTACATGCTTACCTGGAAACTTCCAGCACTCGCCAAACTAGAATCAAACAGTGAGAATTACCTCTTCTGTCGTTCTGAGTTTGTTGCCTGTGGCAGCGATTATGACGGGAATTCCAGGGCTAGTCTTATTAATACCTCTATCTGTCTGCAAGGTTAAACTCCACCCTCTACTAGGTTCTACCCAACCCTCAAGAGATGACTTAAGCCCCGCCTCTGAGGTACCTAGCAGATCAACCTAGCTATCAATGGGCCTGTCACTCATAGTGAACGGCCTACAGTACGACCTTGACCAAGATTAGACATTCCTAATTGCTAAACATCTGCTCTCTGGAGAATTTCACTATCATGTGTGAAACTTCAGATGCTGGACGCCATCCTGTCTAGAAATTTCTACCAGACCACTTAATTCTCCTGATCCAGTTTGATCAAACGGCCCCACTCAGTGTGTGTTATGTAATTTTTATGACACTACGGTCGGGTTCAGGGGAGCTAATCTCAGGTGTGATACGAAGTTATCTCCCCCTTTACTCGCCTCTACAGACTGGGCAGGAGATAATATTCTGACACGGGCAGGTGAAACTCTAGCTACAGTAGTATTAGGTAATATCACATAAAGCAAGGTTGCTTTGTCTGGCGAGAGACTGGAAACACATTTTACACAATTCTCAAATCCCTTGTAGTGGTTTTAGAACTATTTTAGGCTCAGTGTCTATTGCTTTTAATTCTTTGTCCTTCTCTGAACATAAGAAATTATTAAACACAATATAACTTCTGAGACCACTGAGGTCATTTCGTCACACATGATAATTAACTTCTTTGGTATTCCAGAGTCCTTCATAGCAATTCATAAACTCTTTCTATGTACACTATCATACGCCTTTTTAAAATCCACAAAGCATTATGAACATCTCTTCTATATTCCACAATTTTGCTCTGCCAATTGCCGTAAAATGAATATCTGATCTATTGTTGATCTGTTCTGTTGGAAACCCGCTTGTCTATAGAGATGGATAAATATGATATGGAGAAACAGGAGTGCTGCATCAGAAGGCAAAGGTTGAGAGGCTTGGCTAAGTTGAGGGCCTATGCACCATCTGATGATGAACAACAGACAAAAATTTATTTAGGGCAGGCGGTTTTACCTTCTGTCGTATTTGTGATTGACAGCTCTATATAAAAACAAATTAATGAAGCAAATTTATTGTGTGCATAAATTTTATACTTTTCTACATTTCATTTGTTTTCGCAGAAATGTATGTAATTGAACAATCGATGTAATTGATAGAGACCATTGTATAAGATTAAGTTTAGTGTCCAAAAAAAAATAAAAAACAATTATACCTGTCAGTACACTTGTAAATAAAAATAGTGTAAAAGGAAAATATCTGATTTGCCTCCTAAAAAATCATACACAGAGTTAAAGAAGTTGTTAAGAATCTTTCCTATGTAAAATTTTATTTTAATGCTGGAACAGTAAATAAAGTTTAGTCGTCCTTGCTGTTGTTATATTAACACCTTCTTTGAGTATTTTAATCTTGTTTGAATACAGAAAACATTTTACTTATACTTTTTCTAAGAATATATATTATAAACCCCAGAAATTCAGTACGGTTGGCTATCCGTAAGCTGACTTATGCACCAGAAGAACCGGCACCCCAGCCCAATGCTGAAGCTGTAAAAGATTTCATTATGAGCCCAGGGAGTATTCGTCTGGAGGCATCCCTTGACAAAGAGGTCAGACAATTAATAATTATATTATTGAATCAAAACAGTCATCATAATTATCATTAAGTGTATTGTCAGTTTCCTTAACCCTTTCACTGCTTTGGGTGTGTTTCACTGTTTGCCCATAGACTGCTACGCATGTTACTAGTCATTATCCGGTTTCTTGACCCTCACTGCTATGGGCGTAAAAACATATTTTCAGCTTCCCTTACAGACTGCTGACCGTATACTCGGGAGTCAGGCAGCAATATACATCAGCCTTATATGGATCCAAGTGACATAGTTACATACAGTTAAACACCCTGTTAGATACATTTAGGTTAGTAGGACAGTGTTCCATGTTATCATGTTGCTTTGATTGCCATGAAAGCATCAGTCCATTCTTCTCCATATTTGAGATTACCTGTGTCACAACCTTGATGAGGTGTGAGTTGTCACATGTGCAGCCATTTATGAGTCATAATTTTGGACCCGATCCAGTCTTTGTGGCTGGGTTCTGCTAATAGTGATAAAGCCTAGGCCATAATATATACCTATGTTGAAATCGGTGCAAAGCAATCTGATGCTGAATCAAATCGGGTATGTCAGAATTGTTAAATTGCATTGATAACCCCAAGCCAGTTGCCACCATATTATAATCTGCACAATAAAAATAATAGCAAAAGGGAAATAAAGCATTATCGAAAGTATTGATATTTGCAGCATATCCCAGTTACAACTTAGAAGGGTTGAACTGCATATTGCCTGTTTTAAATTCAGAACAGTACAAAACATTGGCCATTTAATAAACATCACAGTGGCTTAGAAACGACAACAGTAGAAAATATGGTTCCTCCTGGAAGAAGACACAGATTTCGATCAGTATAAAGATGCATGTGTGACATTAAAAACACTGTAGGCATGAGAATGCATAATGCATGAGAACAACAGAATGATAAATGTCTATAAAGTGGACCAATATAAGAGTAGCATTCTGCTAGATATTGATTTCTAAAGCTTTACCGTAGTACCATACTTTTCATTTATTTTTTTGATGATTTCTTTATGTGGTGCCTGCCAGATGCACCTGTTTCACATAAGTAAAGATTTGCTGTCATGTCCAGAGCTTTCAATTCTAGTGGAACATAAATCAGTGTTTGAAGCAAGTAAGAATTCTTTCAGCCACAAAATCTATCCAGCTCTCAGTAGGAAAACTTATGAGTAAGATGTTTTGGTGCCTTTGCTTCGTGGTGATCTTAATTTAAAAAAATAATTATATATTTCATTATTGTATTATTTATTAATCATCTTTTTCTTCTTCTCCTCTTCTTCTGCTTCTTCTTCTTCTTCTTCTTCTGCTACTTCATGTACTCTTAAAAGAGTGGTTGGCACATTATATTATGGTTTGTGATAACTGCGTCTTTTAGCCCAACATGTCTGATTTCGGGATTTCTTTAATTAGTTTATTTATACGACATGCTTGTTAATGACTTAAATATGGGGCCCCTTACTTCACATGGGAAATGAGTTCATTTTTACTGAACTATGACTAGGAAGGTCACCGCAGGGTACATGCCCAGAAACAACTAGTGTTTTGACCGCAGGGGGTACTTGTTGATATAAAGCTTTATTAATTTCATTTACTGCTTATTGACATGTTTACTTGCTTGCTTGCTTGCTTGAAAAAGAAAAATAATAATTTGATCACGTTCAGGCATTTTTAGCTGTATAGCTGATACAAAATGAAGCCATGCGCATTATTTTGGGATGTACAAGAGACACATCCTGTGGAGCAATGAGGTATCTACTTGACTTTCCAACAATGAACCAAAGGATCAGGATGTGGAGGGCTCGGGCATATCTCAAAATATGTGCTGATAAGAAACACCCACTGCATCAAGCGCTTTTTAGTGAAAAGGGCTACAGACTGAAGAGGGGGAAATCGTAGCTAGGTCGGGCAGAAGATGTTATTAAGCAAATATGCAGCCTAACCGACATCATACCTGGTGCAGAATGGATACCTGTGCCTCAGGCGTTAATTTGTACATTTTCCTGTTTTGTCACACTCAACAGGCGATGTAGAGAAGATAATCCTGTTGCTGTTAATGCAGAGGTCAATGCTCTCATCGGTGAAAATTCAGACGAAGCAGATGCAATAATCTATACAGACGGATCCGTTATACGCCAAAGAAGAAGCGCATGGGCATTTACAGCACGCTCAGCGGGCAGAACAGTCAAAGAAGCCAACGGCGCCTTCTCCATGACAACCAGCAGCATGACGATGGAGGTGATGGCAGTGACGCAAGCGCTTGCCTGGCTTGAAACACAAAAATACACCTGCTTGTGTATACTCAGTGATTCAATGAGTATGACCCGGAGGGTTCAGGCAGGTTCAGTGCGAAGACAATGGCTTGAATCATTACAGAAGTCCACTGTGCGTGGAGTCACCTTTATTTTTGTTCCGGGACACGCAGGCGTCGATGGAAATGAAAGAGCTGACAGGTTGGCTGGATCCGCTATCACTACCGACGGTCAGCCTATGGATCATGCTATTATCAATGCCCTCAGAGAAATGAGAAGGATAGAGGACTTTGGTGGCAGTGAATCCACATCACTCGCCAGAATGGCAGACTTGGGAATTAAGATCGGTACAGCAAAAAAAGACACACACCAGACACGCCAGAAGACTTGTTAATCAACATAGAACTGGTACTATTAGCCATCGGAGGTTGGGTTTCATACTGAGGGGAGGATCTGAGCACCTATGGACATGTCCGGAGTGCAATGAGGATAACCCAACTAACTAACTAACTAACTAACTAGCTGATACCTATATTTGTGATCTTTATTAAGTTTGAATTATTTGAATATGGTTTCCTTCGGTTCCATTTGGTTATGTTGTTCTAAACGGTTTGACTGATGTTGTTTCTCACTTGAATAAAGTTGTTCTATACCTTATGTTGTTGTATCCGGAGGCAAGGGTCTTCTATGTCTTAATTGTGTCTCTTTTTTCGTTCTTAACTATGGTAGGACACATCAGAATGTTGCATTTTAGTTCTGTCCTATCCGCTCGTCGTCTTGTGATTCCCATTTTCTGATTGGTGGAGTCTGGTTCTATTCCTCGACACGTTTTTCCGCTCTGTCTTAACTTCTAGGATGTAATAATGCTTAGTCCTTACAAGGACTTTTATGTAATTTTGTCTTTCCTTCTTTGCTGCTGTTTTTCTCCTTTTCATCTTTGTCTGGTGTCCTCTGTGTTGTTTTACATTTTGGATCTGGCTGGTAGGTGTCTGTGGATGTTGTCTTCTCTGTCGTCTCTCTCATCTCTTCCCTCAGTCGCTTTCCGTATTGAGCTTGTTTCCTTCGGTCTTCTTGGGTTTTGATGCTTCCTGGTGGAAACCTTCTGTTCATTTCTGTATTGTGTCTATCTTCAAGTTCTTGCTGCTTGCCAGTAGACTTTTTCATCGATGTTTCTTTCGGTTTATCGTCTATTGACTTTTCGCTGTTATCTTGATCTATTTGGGTTTGCTTGGAGCTGTTGTCTTCACGGCTTTCATCCTGCTTTTTCTGCAATTCCTGTAGTGCTGCTATTGTTTCTGCTTTTATGTCATTAAGTGTCTTTATATTGTAGTCCAATATCTCTCTCATCTCTTTCATCTCTGCAAGTATCTGTCTTGCTTGGTCATCAATTTCTGGCATGTTTTTCTTTGGAGTCAGCTTATTTGCCTTTAATATCTTGACCTCTTCTTCTAACTTTCTGATCTGATTCTGCATCCTGGATTTCTCCACTGGGGTGAAGTATTCAGATTCTTTGCATTTTTTTCTGGCTTCTTTGCATGGTATTCTCTCAGTAATTGCTATCTTGAGTATTTCCTGGATAAGGACATCCAAAATACCTCGCCCCGTACCGTCCAAAACAGTTGCTGCATCGTCGATTGCTTTTTGGTTTTTGGTAATTTTTATCTTGCTTTGCTAATTGACACTCCTTATAGGAATGACAGTCAGCACAATATCTGAAAATCTCTGTTTTGCTGCGGCACACTGACTTGGTATGAAATCCCTTTTGACATCTGGAACATTGGAGTACCCTTGGGATATATATCTCTGGTTTCTGTAGTTTATTATCAATCTTGACTGTTTCTGGAATACTCTCACCTTCTGTCGTCACCACTGCTACATCATGTTTAATATTTTTATCTGCAGAAATATTACCATGGTGAGAGCATTGCTGTGAATGTGCTAGTTGACAACAACACCAATAAAACAGTGAAGAAAATTAAAATATCAGGTACAGTCAGTCAAATATGTAATAAGTTTATACGTTCTTGTAAGTTTTTGTTTCCCCACGTCATCAAGTGCCATCTCTGCATTTGAGGTCAGCTGTAGTCTCTTCAGCACATTCTATCTTGCTTCTGCATAGTGCATTTGTACAGGCATATTCTTGTCTGTCTCTTTATAAGTGTATGTGGTTTAGGCATTGCAAACACGCTTTGTAATGCCAGGTTGTCAGGTTCGATCCCAGCTGTGAGCCTTGAGTTGGTTTTAACAGTGGTATCAAGAAGCCGACCGTCCAGAAAGCAGCTGCAAACTACTGGACATAAATTTGCCTAGAAAAACCACAACAGCCAAAAATGCTGGGGTTGGTCCTGTATTGTCCTGTAAAAGATACGTAACTAACTAACTCTTTATATTTTCCCCACTTATAACATTGACTTTTTTGTCTTCCTTTTGTGTGCATCCCCTCCACCTTTTCCTGCAGCACATTCTTAAACAAGGGGAGTTTCTCTTTATGTGGCCTAATTTCTGACCTTGGACTGGACTCGATGTTCTCAGATTTTAGTCAGATCCAAATTTTTTTGTATAGTTTTCCTTGGCCTGTCTCTTCTCATCTTCTCTTGTACCAAGCCCTGATATTTACATTGTGCTATCCATATGTGTATTTTAAATAAATCTGATTATTATTATTTTACTTGTCCAGTTATAGCAGTTTTTGTTTGTTTGTAATGTTCATGTCTTCAGAGTTCAGCTATTTTGAGTTTCATGTTGTATTTTATCAAAGTTGTTGCTTATATTTCCTCTAATAAATTATTTGTAGATCCTAAGCATAATATTAGTACTAGCATCTCACCCATTCCTTTGAGGTAACTCAAGGCATTTAGTGGTCCACGGCATATTTATACCACATTATCTGTGTATTTTTTTAGTGAAGTCTTTGATCTAGAATTATTCCCAAATTTCTTGAAATTTGAGCTGAAACCTTTTTTTGTTCATAAAAGTTTGTGTCAGTTCATCTGGTTTTATGTGCAAATGTTAATATCCCGAACATAAAAAAAAAAAATGATTTACATCTAATAAAATAAATTTTCCAACGTGCTGGAGACGATCACCGTTAAACTGAAATCATTTTTGGACAGGAAAGAGCTCCTCCCAATAGTTTTGAGTAGTATGGAAAAATACCTGGTCAGATATGGTCGCTATTGCTTTTTGAGGGGTTCTAGAATAGACATGTCTGTAGTAGTAGTATCTTAAGGATGCCTACATAAGAGTCAGATATTATATTTTAATGTCCACACTTTTAAAGAAGGGAGAAGTTTTCTCTCCCCTGTAATGCCCTCCTCCATCTGAATACATGGGTTTACCACAAGAATCTGCAATTTCACAAGCCCTCTTCAGTGTGTATGCAAGCAAGATTTTATAACTTGAAGCAGCTAATGTTGGAAGTATATTGAAGATATTGATGATGTCCTTGCATATCGATTTGGCAGCGATAGGCGACAAAAAGCTCAAGAGAGTTCAACATTGGACAAAGTGACTGACTGGTATACAGAAATAAGCAGTGTCATTAACCCAGATAAAAGAGTACTGATTTTTTGGGGGGGGGGGGGGGGGGGGGGGGGGGGGGGTGGGTGGATGGGGTACTGTGTTGACAGTAGTGGTGTTATAGATGATGTCTCAAACATCACATTTAATGATAGAGATATCAAAAAGTTAACTGAGATACTTGGGTATAACCTTTGACTGAAGCCTATCCTTCAGGGACCATGTACTATCCTTCAGGGACCATGTACTATCCTTCAGGGACCATGTAGTGGCAGTTGAAGCAAAATGCCAAAAGGGGCTAATTGCACTGAAAATTATTGCAATAGTGGACATGGAACAAAGAATGCCGTTCACTTAGTAATCTCAATTGTTGATTATAGACAGATACTGCTCGCCTATTGAAGAGGCAGTGCTTAGTGCAACAAAGTCTGGCGTTTAATACTAAAACATCTAGTATGACAATGGAGGTAGAGGCAATCATTGTAGCTTGCTGATTTGCTGCACACATGTCTTGTTTGTAACAGACTCACAAAGAGGTCTGGCCAGTCAGGTAGAAACCAAGTTATATGAATCAGCGGAGGACATGAATCACACTATAGCCTTCATAGAAAACAGCAGCCTTCTCTTCTGAAAACCACTATCAGTGTGAATGAAAAGAAGAAGGCTCACAAAGCATGCTGACTTGTCTCTAGACAGGCATGATCAGTGCAGAGTGGCAAGCGTCACTTTAGGTCCCAGGTAGTAAGCGTCCTTTGGATCTGTTCTTCTCAGAATGCATGTGTTTTGTGTGTTTAATTTATTCAAGAACTGACATCACAGCATTCCGTTCATTCCCATGAGCGCTCTGTCCCCATCTTTAGCAGCCAGTGCAAAGTTCCAGTACCAGTGCTACCAGTAGCAGTCTAATTATATGTCCGTCTTTCCTTTCCTCTGACCATTGAGTAACAGCCTGATCCCCTTGTCACTCCTCCCTGCATTACTCTCATCAGACTATGATGATCCATTAGCTTTCCTGTCCGCCTATTAATTTCCCAACACATCCCAGAGAAAAGATCCAGACAGTTCTCTTCACCAATGACCTCTGAAGCGAAGCATGCCATTCTGCATGAAGCATGCCTGTCCTCAACCTTCCTGAGCATGCTTTCTGAGTCAGTTACAGTCACATTGTATGTGGACAGCAGCAGTGACCGCATATACAAACATTTGTCGACGAGAGATTACTTCTACTGATGATTGGTAGACTCCTGCTGTATGTGTTTCCCCTGTGGAGTTTCTTCTTATTGTACTTGGCTAGCCCAACAAGACAACCAAGATAGTACTTTGACACCTATGGAAAGACTGGCCCCCCGGTATGGCCGGGGGGGATAACTGACACCTGGAGACAGATGTCGACTGTGGACCGCGTTGATCACCCATAACACAGTATAATACCTCCGATTTCGAAACCACATAAAGAAATATGCCCCCAGGGTCCATCGAAAGGGGGAGAGTGATGGACCCAATCAGTTAGATACTAACGGTGTTGACCTTGCTAGCCCCCACACTGAGATTTATGCCCATTGGCCGGGTTGGCTCTGTACATGTGGAAAGAGCTTCACGGGGTTGCATGGTCTGAGAACGCATGCTGGAAGGATGAAATGCGAGGTTGCGCCACGCAGTAAACACTGTTGCAAAACTACTACTCCTGTGGTAGTTACTAGTTAATGAGTCGTCAGAGAACGACCGGCAGGTTATACCCCACTCACCCGGAGAGGCCCATGACGTCGACTGCAGAGGCACACATTTGATGATTCCTGAAGAAGTGTGTTCAAAGATCTGGTTTCCACCTGTGAGTGACAAGGTGTCGTGGTGCAAACTAAAGGGTACACTGTGTGAATCATGATTTAAAGAAAAAGTCGCTAGGTGATAAGCTTACAGGATTTGGTAATATATATACGAGCACTGTTCCCACAAGTTCGGGACAGTCAAGAAGACGCAGCCGAGCGTCAAGCAAATACAAGCAGGAGACAGAGGGACATTCTGAAGTGCAGGGCAGACAAAATCGCACTCAGAAAATGTTTCAAAGCCGCTACAGGCAGCGAACGGGAGGGGCTGCATTAGGTCTGGTTGCACTTGAGAGCCAGACACAGTGCCCTCTGTCGCGCTTAGCCTTTCTGTAATAAAAGATGGAGAATTAAAAGGGAGCGAGAGAAATTCTTTAGGGACGCGTTCCAGTTTGCCCAAGGTCTATTTGAGCAACTGAAGTCTGGGACTCTGGTGGTCAGTAAAGAGGAGCTTGAGTCACATTTGCGCAAAATGTACTCAGATAGGAAAAGGAATGAGTCTCTCGATGACAATCCAGAGATCCTTAGCGGTCTGAAGCGGTATGATTTTCCGAAGGTACCATTTAAAATGATACCTACCTCTTGGTCTGAGGTCGAGGAAGTTGTGAAAATAGCAAGCGGCAAGTCCGCCCCATGTCTGAATAGTGTTCCGTACATTCTGTACAAGCGTTGTCCGAAAGTCGTACGAATGCTTCACCGCTTGCTGAGACAAGCGTGGAGCCCAAATCACATATGTTCCGAGTGGCAACGGGCCAACAGAGTCTACATTCCCAAAGAGCGGGACTCGAAGAGTCTTTCCCAATTCAGGCCTATTTCGCTGTTGAATATTCTTCTCGGTTATGGCTCACCGGCTCACACAGTATCTGATGGCGAACAAATACATCGATATAAGTGCCTTGAACACGCGACCATGATCTGGGAGTCTATTCAGAGAGCCAAGCATGGAAGAACTGAATTGCACGTAATATGGCTGGACCTCGCCAACGCCTATGGGGCAGTTCCCTATAGGCTACTCTGGCAGGCTCTACGCATGTTCCAGGTACCGGCACAGATCAATGAAATGATCGAGCAATATTTCTCTAAGTTCGCTTTGCGCTTCTCTACCCCGACGTTTACTACGAGATGGACTGAGCTCCAGGTTGGGATAGCTATGGGCTGTACGATCTCACCAATACTGTTCGTTATGGCCATGCAGGTCATGTTAGATGGGGCGGCCGGCTACGGACAGGGCCTTCAAATTGGGGACCACTGGATGCCGCCACTACGTGCATTTATGGATGACACGACTATAATCACAGGCAGTGAAGAGTCTGCCCGCGCGATTCTGAAAAGATTGGATGAGGTGGTCCAATGGAGCGGTATGCAGTTCAAACCACAGAAGTCAAGGAGTGTCAATCCTAAAAGGTAAGGTGGCGGTGATCATTTTTACGGTGGCAAGGAATCGCATCCCCACGGTTCTAGAGGAACCGGTGAAGAGCCTTGGTCGCGTTTACGATTCAAAGTTATCTGATAGAGCAGAGGTCCGGCCAATACACGAGTCACTGGCTACAGGCCTGCTCGCAATCAAACATAGTAGGCTGATCGGAAAGTTTAAAGTCTGGTGTCTTCAGTTTATGTTGATCCCAAAGCTTCTTTGGCCGCTGCT